AATAAGATATATTTTAAAACCCAACTCCCTTAAAAAAAAGAAAATAATATACAGGGGCAGGCAAAAGTAGGTTTATATGAAAGTTTATACTTATTATTTAATTGCAAACTTACTTCTGCCCAACCCTGTCTACTACTGAATTCCACTTTTACACAGTTCAAATATAAGCAAACTAAGCTATGGTCATGGAAATAAAGCTAGTGATTATCTTAAGGGGAGAGTGGACGTTAGACTAGGAAAGAGCATGGAAGTCTCTGGGGTGCCAGCAATGTCCTGTTGCCCCACCTTGGTGCCATGGCATGAGTATGTCCACTTTGTGAAAATTCAGAGCTGTGTATATATGAGGTCTGTCTGGAAAAAGTCCAGCCACTGTTAGTACAGCGAGAATGGTTTGCACATGAATGTAACCTGGTAGCCAAGGGGACTGGAATGTGCATGTGTGAACAACGAAGGCTTCACTGCACTTGTCAGCGGGGGCGGACAACATTGAGGGACCATGTGTGCCGTGCGGCCATCACATTCAGAATGACTGCGCAAATAGAGCAAGAATCTGCATCAAATGTTGCGTTAAGCTTAACATTCCTCCATGGGAACTATTCAGATGCCTCAGCAGGCCACAGCTGTGGGCCACTGGTGACTGGCAGCTTCATCGTGACAGCGCACCTGCTCACGCATCACGTCTCATGCAGAGTTTTTGGTGAAACGTCAAGTCGCCCAGGTGACTCAGCCCTGCCACAGCTGAGATCTGGAGCCGAGGCTTTTTCCAAAACTAGAATCACCTTTGAAAGGGAATTCATACTGTTAGAGATTCAGGAAAATACAAGGCAGCTGACGGCGACTGGGAGAACCGTGTGAGGTCCTAAGGGGCCCTGTTTGAAGGGGACTGAGGTGTCATTGTCCTATGTACAATGTTTCTAGTATCTTCAATAAATGTTTCTAGTTTTCATAGTACATGGCTGGATACTTTCTGGACAGACTTCATATGTATACTTTTCTGGGTCATGTGCTAATTTTTAAAACTTTATAGACCAGGTAGAAAGCTATGCACTAGTGCAGTTGAAAGGTGGTAGTTCAGACTAGGGTAAGAACAGGGAGCAGGTGGAGACAAGATCTACAAAGTGATGTGGTTTTGGTTTTTGTTGTTTCTGCTTTTGCAGTCCAGTGAGTCTAATAAAATCATCACCAAATTTAATGTCAAAGCAAAGCATTTGCTTGGAAGAGACAAGTTTGAGTAAGGTTATAAATACCTAAGTGTAAATGCAAGTAATTTCCACATACATTAGAATTTAAAACCTTTGCATTTGACAATGAGAGCACAACTAGATCCAGGGCACACTTAAGACCCAACTAAACTAATACAGAACAGGTGGCTTTCAATAAACATGTACCCTTTTTCACAGAAAGGCAAAGCACACTTTAAATAACAGTTTTAACTGTGCACTCACGTTGGGGAGACTATGCCACGAAAGACCAACAGTTCAAATTACTACTCGCGGCTACAAGATTCTGAGTCGTCTTGTTCTCAAATGACAAAGTTCCTCCAGTTCTAAGCAGTTTCAGTAAATATGCTGAAGCACAGACTTTTGATGTCTATGTGCTATAAATACACACGCCACTTCAAGAATCTTAACTGTCACTTCCCGTGGCTATTTCTAAGTCGTCTGTTATGCTCAGATGCTGTCTGCCCAGGAACCCAGTTCTGCCTTGCTGGTAGCTCCTCTTCCTTGAAAATAACCCTCCCCCTCCCAACCAGCCAGCACCAGGTCCAGTGTTACCCACGTTCTTGAGGAGCGGCTAGCAAGGGCAGCTACGGTTCCGATGGCGCACCCGGATACATTGCCGTTAGGAGTGTGCCCGAATCCCCTTCAATAGATGCTTGACAGACTATACTGGGCGGCACTTACTGAGATCACGAACTCCAACAAACTAGTTTTCTGGAAAATGTGTGACCACGGCCAACAGGTGGGTTTTTTGTTGGCTGGTTGGTACCCCTGACAAGAGCTAGAAGAGGGGAAAAGAGCTCCTACATATGGATTTTATTTCAAATTACCTTCAACCACAACTGTGTAGCCTCAGGATCTGCATTTTAACAAGCACCCAGTTTGTTGATTCTGATCAAGTTGTACTCGAACACTAACTGGTGTTCTTGTTTTCCAAGAGATTAAAATATACACTTGCCTTTCACTTCCTCAGTCACATTCATGCATTCGACATTTACTGAACATCTACAGTACATGTGCCAAGAACTGTTAAGTCCTAAGGTTTGTCGTTACCAAAGGTCCCTGCCCCCATGGAGCTTACATTCTGATGGAGGGAGGACAACCAAACAAAAAAGTAGCAAAGCAACCTAGGAATGAGGTGATCCATTAAAAAAATAAAACATTCCTGGTTTTAATAAACTCAATGAGGATTTTGACAGATATCCTGACTACATCATTTTACTGAAAATGCTCAAAGGCAGTATTTTGAAAGAGCAGCATTTGCCCAGCATTCTAATGCACAAAAAAGTAGATACACAAATGAAAACACATCTTAAGGAAACTGAATAAAAATGATCAGGGCCTGTAATAAGGCAAAGATGTTTGTAGTATTTTATTTTCAAAAACTTGTTAAGTCTCCTAGTCTTCTTGATAAAATGTGCATGGACTTACCTAGGCCATATGCTAACATATAACGCAGCCAAAGGAAATTAGCTAAAAGTCTTTTTGCAACAGGAAGCAAATTAAAATTTATTAAGTGGGCATTCTCAATTTTTGTTTAGCTATGTTATTAAGACTTATGAATTAACTATTTTTGTGAGCAAAGGTAAACATATAAATCACATTCAACTCATGAATTGAACAATTCAATCTATAACCAGTTATATGAACTGTAAAAATCTGAAATTTATACAATATTAGTGTCAATTCTCAGAACTGGCAGAGTTGCATACGGCCACATAGTTCATGCCCATTTGTCTCGAAGGTCCTGGACTTCTCTTCATTGGTGTACGAAGACCCAAGAAAAAAAGGTACAGAAACAGAACACAAACAAAAACAAAATCACAGTTGGTCAAGTATGGTATATAGCAAAACCTGGTTTACCTTAGAAATGCATTTCTCCAGTACCACCTGATAACCAAGCTTTCTGCAAACTCTTGTCAGTTCACAAGAACAAAGCAGAGGCCACAGGCAAGCGAAGCCAGGCCGCAACACCGACCAGTGGACAGAAATTACTTTTCACGCACAATCGCTCTGGCTCTCGGCAACAGCTGCCCAGTACATTTCAGCTTTATTCATGTTTGGTGAGCTTCCCAAGCTGACTTCGAGGAACTGGTATTAGACATGGATCACTTTTCCAGAGGAACATCTTAAAGAAGCAATGGTTAGTCAATTTAAAAAAGAAAAGCAGCAATTTGGAAAAGTTAGAATTTCGCTTATGTATTACAACTGAGTTGGAATATTAAGGAAATCATTAGATATACACCTTTAATCACCTGTTACTCTAAAAACCAAACTATGAATGTTGTGTGGTTAACCTCTCTTCCCTCGAACAAAAGCCTAACTTAGCAGAAGGGTCTAGTACTATTAGTGCCCCCTACCCTTTCTTTGTCTAAGATAATATTATATATTTCTCCCCTCCTCTATTTCCTGAATAGAAATTGAACTTCCTTCACATTTGGGCAATTCTAAAACTAAGTCATTCTTGTCCCTAAGAGAGATTTACACAAAAGACTCTGTGAATTAGGTTCTAGCTTATCTACATTAACTTTCAAAGCAGACCCAGTTTAAGAAGCCCAGGGGTCACATTAATGTAGTATTTAAATACAATACTAACGACAATTGGGAATATTTTTTTAAATCATACATTATTTCCTTGTTCAAAATTAGCATAATAGCAATCTAATTCATATTAACCTATTTAACCTATTTGAACACAATTAAGTAGGACATTTTATTACTATACAATAAAATAATTCATTTACCAAAACCCACTCACTTGAACCATTTAAGGCTTACATAAATTAGTAAAAATCTAAGTTGTTCTTTTCTTTCCAATGCATACTAAAAATGCAGAATCAATGTTTCCTGTATTACCAAGTGAAAGCCCAAATGCTTTTTTTAACAATTTTATTTATTTTTAGAGAGAAGGGAAGGGGAAGAGGGGGAAACGTCGATGTATGAGAGATACATGGGCTGCCTCTGGCACACCACAAACTGGGGACCGGCCTGCAACCCAGGCATGTGCCTTGAGTGGGAAATGAACCCACGATCTTTTGGTTTGCCGACTGGCACACAATCCATTGAGCCACAGCAGCTAGGGCCCAATGGCTGACTTTAAATAGGTAAGATTTAATTTGGGCCTACCTGCCAGAAAAGTGTGTAGATAATTTACTAAATTCTTGTTTTTGTCAAATGCACTCTTTACTCACAAGATCGATCTAGGCACAGTAAAATAATAGTTTCCATTTGTGGACTCTAAATTGAGATTTTTACTATATTAATGCTCAACAGAGCACTCATTTTCAGGAGGATATAAATTTCTACTCCTCCATATCTAAAAATTAAGTTTTACTTCAACAAATCAATGAAAATTTCTTAAAGCCTTTTTACATTTTTTTTTTATTATTTATTTTTAGAGGGGAAGGGAGGGAAGAAGAGAGGGAGAGAAACCTTGATCAGTTGCCTCTCACATTCCCCCAGCCAGGGACCCGGCCTGCAACCCAGGCGTGTGCCCTGACCTGAACGGAACCCGCGACCTTTCACTTTGTGGGTCCCAAACCACTACGCCATACCGGTCAGGGACTAGGCTAATAGACTTTACTGCTCATGTAGAACATGGAAATAGGTGCTGAGTATGTGTACGCTCCACATACCTTCCTAAGGAAATTGCTTATTTCATGGCAGCCTGAAAGGAATAATTATGTAATAAATGACAATAAGAAAAGGCCACTTACAATATAGTCTAGTCTTTATTGAAAGACTTAAACTACTGTTTACAGCTTTGGCTTCAGTTGGCCAGTCATTTTAGCCTCTCACTGCCAGCAGACATAAAAATCAAGTGGGAATGCCATATGGGGAAATGCTGGTAGATTATTAAAGAAGATGGCAGTCAAAAACACATCATCAAAACCAATCTCAAGATAATTACAAAATAAGAAACATATCTTACATGCCAAAGAATCTCTGTCACTTTTAATGAGCGTGGAAAAGGCAATGGTTATTGGGCTTAAATTAGATCCAGACAGCACTGACTTCACTTTGTTATCAGTCTGTGTTAGCCTGACAGTTGTATTCTAAAATGGTGCATTTCAAAAAGGAAAAAGGACTCATGGACATGGACAACAGTGTGGTGATTGCCGGGGGAGGGCAGTATAAGGGGAATAAATGGTAATGGGGAAAAATACAAAAAAGAAAATAAATAAAATGGTGCATTTCGTTTGGATAAGTAGCTTCATATTTTTTTAAAAAAACCACCCATTTACTATCAAATACTTTCATTAACTTAACTGATCATGAAATCTTGCTCTTTCAGATTAAGACAAAGGACACTTCAATCGTATGTTTACTATGGCAATATAATTAGTCCTTTAAATTTTATTAACTCATAGAATACACAACTAGGAAATACTGTACCTGTATTTAGCTGTTACCGCAATACGCTACTTAATTTACTGGCAGACCAAAAAAGGCAAACTGAGAATTTAATAGGCTTTTATCAATATATTAAAAAAGTCTTTAATTGTTCAAGTTTCACATGTATTCAAGAAATTTTTAACTAGGAGGCATAATTGATATAATTTGAGTGTTTTCCTTATAAAATATAACTTTTCCACAATATCCCCCAAAGACCATAAACAAAAGTAAGGGTATTATAACAGATGACCACTATGGTTAAAACTGAAGTGCCATAAAAAATTGGCCCAGAGATGGACTTCAGACTCTGTTACCTCTCAGGTTTAATAACATTTGGCCATACTTCTAAATGGAGGAAGAAGGAAAATACCAAAAGTATCATGGTTATCAATTTATAAAACCATCATTATTTCAAAGCTAACTTTAAGACTTCAAGTTGAAGTAGTAATCTGCAGGTATCAGTTGCAACTTACTACTTAACTGGGAAGAGTTTTCTCATTTTGGTGCACAGGCCTGGAAACATTCAAATATACTTCCTGAACACTTGCACCCCCTAGCTGTCAGAATTCAAATACATAGGATTTTCTCTTCCACTTTCCTATTACGACAAAAATTCGAGGCAGATTTTATCCACATAACCTGAAAAATACCTCAGAGGCGAACTCTAGTCTCACCTACCTACCCAACTGATGCATTTACGGACTCTGCACTCATCCGACTCTGCCTCCGTTCAGGCTCGTCGTCCCACGCACGCTACCCACACAAAAACCATTTAATTAAAAATAAAAGTCACAACTCTGTGTACTATTTAAGCTGAATATCCAATTATAAATTGGTACATTGAATGGCATAATGTTTTAGCAATCTTATTTAAAAAATTCTTGGGCAAAATATACCTAATTTTAAAAAACACCCCAAGATTTTTAAAAAACACTTGTATTATACAATTTATAGGAACCTTGAAATGGTTTACAAGGTTTAAATCAAGGTATTTACATACCAAGTGACGTAAAGCAAAGAAAAAAAAAAATCAAAGAAAAAAATCTAATTTCCAATGACATTTTAAAATGTACTGATGCATCAAAGATTTGTATGAAATTAAAATTAAGGCTTTTTCTGTATAGTAATTTGTATAATTTAAATTTTACATAGTAGCCAACGTTGGAAATGTCAGTCTTAAACATTCGTATCAATCCATTGCATTCAATGCAGTGGAGTGTGTTAAGTGTTACTTCAAATAATTACACTGCTACTTCTATGTTGAAGCATGCTTTTTTAAACACTGTAGTTAATATTTACAATGTATATCATTTTAACTTCATGTAAAAGCACAAGTATGAATGTCTGACTTTAATACAAACACCATACTTGGAATTTTCCCCCCAAAATGAAATGTAATTTACTACAGTTTTAATAATCAACACTTCTTAAAGTCTTAAAAATATGTCTTAATGTGGACCACCAATATTGGCTCAAGTAACTCAGACAATGCTGTTCCTTATTTAGGTTGCAAAATTTCTTTATCAGTCTGGCTTCAGTTTCTTTAAGCATAAAGTATTTCCTCCAAAGCGACTTCAAAACCATGCATTTCTTCTCAATAGCATTTTTTTTTTCCTGCTGACTTCAAATGTGGTCCACCTCAGGATAGGGGAAGGGAATACCAAGGTTCAGGATGAACTTAAAAGTGATTCCCAGTTGTTCACGATCCTCCCTTTTTTCGCTCTTTTAAAAACAGTGAGTTAAAATACTGAATAGCAAGATAAAAATGGAATAGTATCTAATAATCAAAATGTATTACCCATTTCTCCTATTATATCAAAATTTGAAGTCAGAATTGTCTTTATTGGCTTTATTTTAGTTTTTGTACACAAAGAAAAATCATGTTCATATCCATCATGAACAAAAACTTAAAAAGGCAGAACTAGAAGACATGTGTCCTTCCCCAAAGCAAAGCTGTGCTAAAGGTTCCAAACATTTCAATTTTTAAAATAAATATTTTCATTTTCCGATGTCTACTTCCATGTCTTCAGAGTGTCACAGGAAACTGAAGCTATCATGAATTACAATTGTGTTTAGAGTCCCAGCTCACTGTGTTTGGTAGCTTGCCATACCATATCCAGCTTGGTTAGGAGGAGGTATTACGGGGGGGGGAGGAGCTTGTCCTTGGGGAGGCTGAGCACCAAATCCACCCATCCAAGCAGCAGAAGGTGATTGACTTGGAAAGGAAAAAAAAAATCTTCAGCAAACACAAAGGAAAAATTATCTATATACATTTATACAAAAAGCAAGCAGAGCAAAAATAATAGAATTGATAAGAAATCAACAAACCTACAATAAAGAGCAAAAAAAAGATACGTAGCTATATGTGTAGAATACATATTACAATATTAGTCTTTAAGTTTTTGATACTAACCACAACTTAACACAATGACTTCTCTGAAGAGTATCTCAAGACTAATTTTTAAAAAGTAACAAAATGATTTAACACATCTTCTGCCTGCACACAGTATATAAAATTACAAGAAATTTTAAAAACACAATTTCATGTTGGAAAGAGAAGGAAGAAGGAACAAGTGAAAATAAAGGTCTGGGTTGATCTAGGGGAATAAAAGTACAAGGGACCATCCCACTCTACCAGCAAGAAAAAAACAAGCTAATTAAAAAATTTTTTATTTACTTGTTTTTAGAAAGAGAGAAAAACATCTATTGTTGTTGCACTTATTTACTCATTCACTGGTTGATTCTTTTGGGTGCCCTGACTAGGTATCAAATCCACAACCTTGGCATACTGGGACGATGTGCTCATCAACTGAGCTACCATGCCAGGGAATCTAGCTACTTTTTCTTTTCTTTTCCTTTTTAAATCAGATAAATCTCTCAGACTTCTCACACAAGCCAACAGGTACAAATCATTACATTTCTGAACCTATCTAGACAAAAATCTTTTCCATGCAAAAATAAACAAGTAGATAAAATAGTATGTTAGAAATGTCAATCAAATTCTACCAACTGCTTACAGAGGTAGTAGGACACACCAAATGTTACCCCAATCTCCCTTTTCACCTGGGTAGTAAGAAACAAGTTTTTAGCATCATATATAATTTTTCTTAAGATTTCTAAAATGCTTATAATTCCAAAGGGTTCAATGTATTTAATTTAAATAGGGTCTCCCTAGGAAAACACCCTGTTTTCTTTTTTTTGTCAGAACCATATCTGTTTCTATACCAGAAAAACCCATACTTACTCTACTCCAAACCCTTGTTGGTTCCACGGCTGCCCATACACTCCGTAAGGCGGTACTTGCCACCCATTGGCCATATACTGTCCATACTGTTGTGGGTTTCCATACACTTGGCTCCACTGGCCCCACTGGCTATAGTCAACCTAGGAAAAAGCAAATTACTGTTTTAGGAGACAAGTAAAAATACAGTATTTGATGAAAGTGGGAGACAAGGAAGAGAAAAACTAAGTAAGCACCCTTATGTGAATAGGACTCTGTTATTTATCATTGTCTAAGTTTATTGGGGTGGTGACACCTGCGAAAAGAAAGTATTAAGATTCAGTTAATACCACAAAATAATCACTTTTGAAATAGCATTAATAAAATCAACTGAAAGCAGATATATGCCTTATTATTATTTTTGTTTGTTTGTTTCACAGTTTCTAAAGCATTTATGTAGATATGTAAGATAGAAACCTTAGAAAGTACTATGAAAAATCGAATTACCTGTTGGAAGTTTTTAGTCATATCAGGAGATTCTTTACCCCAATAGCATTTAACAACATGTCCTTCAATCGTAGTACCATTCACCGAGACAATGGCATGGGCCGCACTTTCATGGGTTGAAAATCTAAGCGAAAAAAGTAAGTTCTTTTTTGTGTCTTTTTTTTTTTTAAGACAATAAATAATATAGACACCCATTAGTTTACAAGCATCACCTTGACAATGGTATCCTAGATAGAGTACATTATGTAGGTAGTTTAAAGTTCTACATTGCAAAGCAGTACTAAAATAACACACTCTGATATCTGGGGGATCAACTAATAAAGATACAAGGAATGGATCACATTTAAGAGTAACAGTATTGAGTTAGAATTTTACCTGACGAATGAATAGCCCTTCTCTGGAAAAACTCTTATTTCCATGATTTGTCCAAAAGGCGAGAATGTTTGTCTCATAAGCTGATCTGAAAAACAAAAACATACAAAAAAACTATCTAAGGCTCATGTGTATCATGAAATTGGTAGTAACAGTGATGAAGCTCCACAGAGAAGGGGGTCAGAAAACCCAACACTGTACCTGTTAACCCAGAAGCAATTCCTCCACAGTACACAGTACAATTTTTTGGACTTGACTGGTTTACAACATCTTCAAATCTCAACTGTTTAGTGTTATCTATATGCACAGAGAAAACAAAAATGTTGATGGCTGTACTGTGTTATAAAACTGATTACTGTATTTAAGATATGCCCCATTTGGGGGGAAAAAATAGAATTATTTTTCTTGATATTATGATTTGATCTACAGTATCAGCTGGTTCACAGCTCCAAATACATTTATATCAAAGCCCATTTTCAAAAAATTGTACTAAAGAGGAAATGGGTCTTGCAATACTAATGAAACTTTTAAGAAATTAAGACTATGCTAATACATGATTTTGTGAAGCAGCCATAATTTTAATGTCTATAGAGGACATATCTTACTTTCTTGTGTACTTTTAGGTGCAGGTGGTTTACGTGTGGCCCAATTGGTTCTGATTTGACGACCACCCAACCACTGACCTCCCATATGCACAATTGCATTTTCTGCATCCTATGGAGAAAAAAAGAGAAAAAAAGGGCACTTACAAACAGAACATAGTGGTGCATAGACCCAGTAAGAGATTAAAATGCTGGTGCTGCTGGATCCAGTAAATCTTATCGGTAAATGGAATCACCAGGCATCCTAAACAAAATTGAACTAGCACCACAAGAAAATTATTTAAATCAAGTGATTAATAAAAGCTACTATTACTTACAGATTTCAAAATACCAGGACAGTAGTTAAGCATCAGGGAAAATTATTGTAATTCAAATGTGCAAGAAAAACATCCTAATCCCATTGATTACCAAAAAAAAAAAAAAAAAAGCAGAAATTCCTTAGGACAAAGTTTTTTTCAAATATCTTAATTTTATGGATGATTTGTAATCTAACTTTTACTGAAGAACATATAAAAATGCTAATGTTACGGTCTAAATAACCTACCCCTAAAAGTGAACATTCTAGTAGCAATGGATTTTAACTACAATACAGATTAAAAACTCATTTTAAAACAGAAGACTTCTGCATTGTTGTGGAATGCTATAAAATAGCTGCCAATAAAAAAATGAGTTTAGAGTCTCATAAGTCATTTGAATTGCAATGAATTGAAACAAAGAAAAGTATACGACTCCTACCCTTTATCTTACTGCTTCAATAAAATGCAGGTAATTTAAGTTGCTGAAGCTGTTCTAAAATGCTAATACCAAGCCCACTTTATTATCTGATGTTATACTTAATGTAATTGCTTCCATATTTTGGTACCTCTTTCTTAAATACATGCACAAAACCAAGACGAACTGTTTCAATTTTCAAATTAATCTGCTATAAGCATTAATATCACAGCTACAAAAATGTGAATAATTAAAAGTTAAAACTGAGATTCTCATGGTTAAGACCAAATATAATTTAACTTCCCTACAAATCCTGAGCCTACCTTATCTGTCCTAGTCCTAAGCTCTAATTACAACGATTACATCTTACCGTCACCAACGCACAAATGCAGCTTTAATACTCTTCCTTGTAACCAGCTATTTATTTCCAAGTGTATGAAAAGAATGAATTATACTCTATTATAAAATCACAAAAAAAATTACATAAAAGCTGTGTTTCTAGTTAACACTTAGAATATTCAGATTTCAGATTAATTAATGACTAAATTTTGTATTACATTTAAATCAAGTTGAAAGAACGTACCAGTTTGTTATAAAAAGATACAAAACCATAGCCTTTGGATTTTCCAGTTGCCATGTCTTTAACTACTCGGGCATCCCTGTGAAAAGAAGCACAGCTAAATGAGGGAAGTAAGAGTTATTCTCAAAATAAAAACTAAAAGGAACCACACACACTGTATTGTGAGCATTTTTTTAAATAAAATTTCAGTTAGCCCTATTTAACTACAGCCATTCCTGAACTCTCCCTAACGCTTCTTTACCTGTTAGAAAAAAGCAGTAGGACAAAAACATGTAATAAACATGCAACCTAATCAAATAGCCTGTGCTTTCTAAACTAAATGCTCAAATCTGAAGATTAATAGGAACAATAGTTTCCTTTTCTAATACTCTATTGGCTAGTGTCCTCTAAGGTTTACTGATTCTATAAATTACTGTAACAATGCTAACTACTTTACCATGCAATCTCTAAATAGTTAAATGTCTTCTGCCTAGTGATACAAAATATATGAAATATTAAAAAATTGAAAAAGAGGAAAAAATAGGAATTAAAAAGGCATACATGGCCTGTTAACAGATTTCTTTATTTTTCTTGGTCAATTCTCTATCATCATTTTGGAGTTTGGGCAGCTGTAAATTTTGAAAAATTGACATTTTCAGAAATTTAAGAAAGGAGAATAAAAAACTAACAACAATGCTAAGCACACCAGTACGAAAACAACAAATTTACACAGAAATTTTAGTGAGTAAGTTAAAATGATTGGAAATATAGAACTCCACTGAATATAGAATGTTAAAATGTAAATACTAAAATATGTATATATAAATAATGTATAATAAGAATAAATAGAAATGAGAAAAAAATCTACAACTGAGTTCCAGTGTGCACAGTTCCTTGCAGTTAGCCTTCAAGATCCTGTCCATTCTTATGAGCAATTCTGCAAAATAACCAGAATGCTATTACTTTTAATTGTGACTTGGACTTTAGAAAAACTGCAGGTCTCAGGTATAAATAAAGATTGAAAAACAGCAACCTGTATTATTTTTATACTGATTTTTAAAACAGTACTACTTACCACATTTAAAGATTAAAAAGCAAAGCAAATATCAAAATAGAAAATTAAGAATTAAATCTTTCAAATAAATTTACAGAACAACAAATTGTATACAGAAAACTATTGTTGTTCTTAGTCGAAACATATTCCTGTAAAGTAATACTAAAACATTTAATTTACATCTACAGGAAATACATAAGCATATCTTAATAAAAGAGATAAATTATGATAAACATTTTATAGAATCGTAACCACTTTTAATTTTCTGATTAGTTGATCAAGTAACATACAGTGAAATTTGAGCACCAAACTTTGTTAAAAATCAAACCACATTTGGGCCCTAACTAGCAGAATAAAATACCACTAACAAAAAAACCCCCACAAACTACTAATTAACCCCAAATTTATGGCTTAGACATTGAAACATTTTAACACTATAACAGTACTACTTTTTAGCTAAAAGAGTAAAACACATTTATCATTATAATTAGATATACACATTTCCAATTTAACCATAATATACCCAAGGATTTATCTATTTCCCCCCACTTATAAAAAATTGAATATACAGTATAAATCATTTATTTTTGGTTAATCCATTATCTTTAACCACCGAATACTGAAAACATTTGACAAAAAGTTGAACGTTATAATAGGTTTTACCACCCAAACATCTGCTTCAAAGATAACAAACAGAATCACTCAAAAATTTTAAACATATTATACAGAGGATTAGATAAAAACAAGACCCCAAAACAGTAAAATGACATTAACATTTCAACATCTACTACTCAAAAATAACAAAACGAACAAAAAAAAAAAAAATCACACTAACTAGGGAAAGAAAATCATTTCTGATACAAGTTAATTATATACAATTTTGCCTATCACTATTGAGCATAATATTAATTATGATACTTACGATATTTTACCAAAAGGGGCGAATGCTGATTTGATATCTTCTGTTGTAATTTCTGGACTCAAATCCCCAACAAACACATGGAAGTGATCTGAAATCAAAGCATTTGGTAATCAAATACTTAAGAAGTCAGCCGCTAAACCTTTCACAGGCAATAATACTAAGGGAAGAAAAACCCTGTTTAAGCTGGTAACGTTGCCAGGATAATTTCAGAACTCTTCCACAGTAAAATGCGGCAGGAGTACTTACTGGAAGTATCTTTTTTCTGGCTACTTGGTGTTGTTGCCCAGTTTACTTTGACCTCCTAAAATAAAGATTATATTTAATACAATTATTAGACATGTCATTTAAAAATAGTAACACTTACCACTTTAAATCATTTATCAAGCAGGATAATTTTTGTAAAAGCACTAGGCTGAATAAAGCAAAACCATCACTCAGCAGAGCTGAATATTCATTTAAAAACTTGCTAAGAAAGAATGCCAACTAATTTGACATGCAAATACATATACTCATTAGGTACCATCATTCTATTATCTTACCTTTCCCAAAATTTTTCTCCCATTCATAGCAGCTAATGCAGCAGCTGCATCTCTGTGTTCATAAAATTCCACAAAGCAATATGGGTCATTGCTTGTATGCTGCAAAACAGAAAATCCAACAGAAGAGTTGACCCTTCTGCTATCGGGTTGCTGAGAAGAAAATCCAGGAAAAAACATTACTGATAGCTAGGAATGTACAGATGAGATTGCATAAGTTTATGAAAGCCTAACACTTTATTAATAAGATTTATAGCTAGACCTGACTTTCCATCTCAGGATACTGTTGTACTCCAACAGAACCATCAACGCAGTATAGAAGCATGACTATCAGTAATAAATCAAAATACAGAATTCTGGTGAGGTATGGTAAGTATAAAATAGAAGTTTATATTAGATCAAACAAAACCTCAGGTTCGGAGTTGATGGATGAGGACTACTTCCTTACCACTGCTTTTCTCTCCCAACATTATTTTCAAAAGGATGAATTCTATTTATGCATCATAATCCTTCATTAACTGTAGGCCATGACTATAAAAAATACAGAAATGAACGAACTTTACAAACTTTACTCCTGACTAGCACTACACGATGATATGAGATTATGTATTTTTTATAGACAAGAAAGGAATGAGAATAAAAATTGAAAAAGTTCAGATAACAAGCTATTGAAACGAATTCCCTATCTTTCAAAATATTTTAATGCACTGGAGATTCTATATACTTCTGAATTTGGTCTTGAAAGACCAGGTAAACAAACCAGTGATTGAGAAAAAGTTTCTAAAAATGTCTCTGAATAAAATATTTCAGGACAAAGCTACAGTTTTATATCACAAAAGCAATGCTGAGAAATCTTTATTAAATACATTCTACAACATTATGTTTGACAGCAATTGGCAAGTAAGTATTTAGAAAGACAATGAGACTGTAGTACTACTGTTGAAGTAACTCTGTCACCTAACAACCTAAATGAAAGTAAATTTTATAAAACTGCAGCCTATATCGGAGAGCTATGCAACTGTACAAATACATTTTTTTTACATAAGGTTAAAAACATTCATCGTGGTTCAGGTAAAATGCCCTAAAAAATAATATTTAAAATGTGAAATTCTAGTTGCACTTACAAAAGATAAAAATACCAGATAAAATAAAGATCTTTTTTCAACAACTACGGTTTTTCACTCCAGCAAAGTTTTAGAAGAAAAGTCCAAAATAAGATGTATAAAACAACAGTGGCGAAGCAACCAGAGGCATTTCCTTGAGGGGAAGAGAAGTATGATCATTAACGCTGATGAGAACACTATGGGCCCCCCCACAAAACCCCACTATCATAGCCAGTGCCCGCTGTGAGGAGTTAAAGAAAGAACACGGGGGCCAGGGCGGGGAGATTCCAAATAAAAATCGCACTTAGATTCCTCTTGTAAAAAAGTTAACATTTACTAGTAACATTCAATGAAGAAAGGGTTTTAAAGGTAAATAAGCTAAAGCTGTGCTATTCAATTTTTCCTTGCAGTCCTACCTTTTCTGCCCTGTGCTCCCTAAGGAAGACACTGATAACTGCTGCAAACATATAGGAGTCCAGTGGTGGATCTATAACAACAGACGTTGGTAAACTAGTCTATTCACACACAATGACTTCAAGTCTAGCTAAGCAGTAGCAGGCTAGACCCCATTCAAAGTACGTCCACACTTACAAGCTTATACATTCACATCACACTGCGTTTCATCTCATCTAAGACCCACTGATTTCTGTCACATCTCAGCTGGCAGATGTGTTAAACATTTTAATGTTTGCCTTCGACGGGATAACATACATTTATTATAGTATACAGGGAAAGCTAGAATCTAAAATAAACAATATCTAAAGTAAAAAACCCATGAAACTCAGGGAAAGAATGAACCTCTCGTTTGCTGAAATGAAATGCAGGAAAGGAGCAAAAAGGCCTGGATGTTCTCCACTAGAGTTCACGCTCTTTGGAAGCTTCCCGCTTACACCACTGCCACGTGGCACTAAAAATCACCTGTGTCCTTAATTACTGTTTTCACCAATTTTTGCTGGGTGACATAAAGGTCAGAACAGAGATATATGAGATCTTACAATTATTTACAAGTTCAGGTGTGGGAGTTGTAGAATATGGATAAATTTTGAAAATTCATTTCAAATCCCTCTACCCCTTAAATGGCTGTATGTGCAGGTTTTGGTTTGTTTTAAACACTCTAAATCTTTATCCAATGTTTCACAAAAATTTTCTAGTGACTCTTCCCAGTGTTTTACTTCCCACTCTCTCCTAAACCCACTCCAGTCCAGCGAAGCCACTGAAACTTCATGCTGAAGTCACCAATGGCCTCTCCGCCACCTCTGTGATCCCTTTTCTGTCCTTACCTTGACTTTCAAGCAGAATTCAGAAGCGGTGACAAACCACCCTCCCCGCCGCCCCCTTTAAATAATTCTCCTTTAGATTCCACTATACTCACTTGGTTTTTCTGTTTCCTCACTGGGGGATCTTTCAAAAGGTAGTTCTTCCTCCTGAAGGCAGACCCTGAACGTCTAAGCGCTGAGATGCGCCAGGGCCTCTCCACTCTCCTCTACCAGCCCTCCCTCTGACCTGGGAACCGGATGCCACCTCGCCCTGGGCCTCCGACTCCACTGCAAGCTGGAATCGGCAGCCCTGGCTCTCCAGAGTTCCCAGCTAGTTTATCCAACTGCCTGCGTGCGCAGTCCACTCAGCTGTCTAACGCACACCTCAAGTTCAGCAGCCACAACGAAGTTCCTGGTTCCACCACTCCTCCCATCCCTCCTGTGCGTCCCTCAGTCATGCCCCTTTTAGCAAATAAGTAGCATTACCATCCATTGAGCTGCACAAACAAGAATCTTAGGGTCACTCTTGATGTCTTCTTTTCCATTATGTCCCACAGCCAACTGAGTCCTATTGTATCTACCTCCAAAATGTGTCCCAAATTTATTTGCCTCTCTTTTTATGGTTACCGCTCTCGAGAACAAGCCCACATCACCTCTTACCTAGACTAGTGAAATAAACCCAGCTGCTCTCCTTCCTTCCGCTCTTGCCAGCACAATCCATTCTCCACACAGTCATTCTCCAAATAGAGTAACTTACAAAAACACAAATCAGAATGCATTGCCCTACTTAGCTGCAACCAGAGGAAAATCCAATCTCTGTCACGGACTGTACTGTCCCATGTGATTCCAAACCCTGCCTGCCTACCTTTTTAGACTCATTTCTCAGCACTCACCCCTACTCACCAGGCTCCAGGTATTGTTTCTGATCCCACCAAACACACCACGCTCACTAGCAACTCAAGACTTTTGAATCTGCCATGCTCTATGCTTACAGCTCTTGACATAGTGGCACCATTTTGTTAGTCCTGTCTCAGCTCAAAGAGGCGACACCTTCCATCACCACCTGGCCCGTACAGCACCAACCCTCCAATCGTCATCACAGAACTGTTTTATTCTCTTCATACCTCCAGCTTTGAATATTGTCTAGCACAAAATAAATTTTGATTAATGAAAAAAAAAGTGAATGAATAAATAAGCAGAAACAGGAAGAAGAGAAAATACAATACACCAGAACAGACTGATAATTATCATTAGGAAAAAAGACCAAAGACCAATTTGCTTTACAGGTTTTTTAACACTTCCCCTCTGTCTCAGGACCTAACACGAACTCCGGAGCACAGCTCCTGGCCGCTTCCAGGCACTCCCAGCTCGCCTCCGGCATCTCTAGGGCTACTCAGTCCCCATGGAAATCCCCAGCACACTATAATTTCTATCCTTCCTTCCCTTTTCCTCGCAAGCATTTCCACTCTGTCTCCCAGATTAGATCAACAGTCCCCTCTCCACCTGGAATCCCTTCTTCCTGAAATTCGTTTCCATCCAGTTTCTATTACCATCCTTTTCAGTGTCAGCCTAGACACTGACTCCTCTAAAAAGCCTCTCCAGACCTGACGGTCCTGGGACCCATGTGTTCCCACAGCACTTGAAACTCCTTCTGTAGCATGTATCGTCCTATTTCATTAGTGCCTGTTAACTCCCCTGTCTCCCTCATTAGACTGTAAAACTCTCCGGAGGTAGAAGCTGTCTTATTCACTACTGTATCCCCTAGCACTTAACCATAATACCCGGTACATAGTAAATGAAAAAAAAAAAAAAGTGTTGAATAATCAAAAAGGAAGAAAATAAACAGAAACACAAGTCACTGGATACTGCAAGAGTCCTAACTACAAACATATCAAAGTAGTCTTCTTTGGAAAGAAAAAGGAAAACAAACTTATTACGCTAAGAATTTAAATTCCTATCTACAATAGGCTGCTCGGTCCTTAGTATTTACTAAAAATACAGAAGATGCATAGTGCTGCACCCTGCACATACTAACCCAATGTTGTTACACACATCAGTCCCTCAACTTTAAATGTATACTATCTGAATCTGTAACACTCTTGTTGGATTGTATGAAATGTCATCTAGTTTTTCAACACTACGAGGTAAGTTGTCCTTGGAAATAAAACTCCATTCCAAACCTACATTGTCTGCCAGAACAAAGCAATTAGTCAACACAACAAGCACAAATCTCTTCATCAGAATAACTTTAGGCTTAAAAGGTTATTTTAAAATGATACTAACGAACTCATGTATCTCAAAATGTTAAACATCATGCCAACTGTCAGCACATGGAACTGGGAAGATCTTACCTCTGTTATCATTTTACAGCTTTTACAGGGTCCAATCTGACTGAATAACTGAAGTATAAGGACTTCTGTTACATCTCTGGAGAGGTTACCTACGTATCTGGACAAGAAAAAAAAAGACATCAGCAATTTTCTTTCACCTCTGGCTGTAATGTGTTATCATTTATTGCATCACGTTCTAGTCCATTTTAACTTCCTCTGTCTTCAATAAAAATTTTCCAACTACCCTGATCCTATGGAAAGCAACAAATATTCTTAGGCCACTAAAGTTCCACTTCAAAACACTTTATAAAGAACAAATCAATGCAACCTTGCATATCAAAAAGCATACTGTTTTCTCATCTTATTTGTTAGACTAAAAGTAACAAAAATTTAAACCAGTCTCAAGATAACTACAATTTCAGGGTGTGAAACACAATTCAAAATAATGTATCTCAAAAGAAAAAAAAAAAAGTATCACACATACACATATAATGATTAATCAAAACACCTGATTATTAGATATAAAGGGCTATAAATGAGTTTATCTTAGACCTACAACCGAAGTATAAATAAAACTGTTACTGATGTTATGTCTTGTTTTAGAAGAGCAAAGTAATAACATTTCCTAGCCTGAAACACATCAGAATCAACAAAATACACATTTATGTAGATAAAGCAAATGTAAAGACTTCTTTAGAAACTCAGAGAAAATGTAAGACAAATAAATACAGGTATACTTCTGACTGTGCACATTTAAAGAATTGGGTTTTTTTTTAAATTATAAATTGAACATACGTATTTTGTATAAGACATTTAAAACCAAGATAAATTTTTTAAAAAGAGAGAAGGAAAAAAAGACCACCACCCACCGAGGACCACCTTCGTTTCTCTTGTATCATGGATTTATTTTAATTTAGCTTACTTAATTCTCAAACTTTTAAGTCTTTTTGGTACTCAGTGTATAATTCCTAAAATCTGCCTGTTACTAACTGCACTCAGCAAACAATAATTGTAAAAATTAACAGTGTCTTCTGCAAAGTAAATGGACATTAGTTTTTATTTTCCTAATATAAAACATCTGGACACTTAGTACCGAGACCGAAATAAGCTTTGCATCATTGATGACCATATTAAATACATAACTGCTTTAAGATGGAACACTTTGAAAGACTATTTTTATAGACTGAGAAAGGTAAGGCTATGTGTAATAAAAAGAATTAACTGATTAGGAATGAATAGCAATTTCCCAATTCAGCTACAAATTTCATTGCAATGGGTACTAATACCTTTAAGTTTACATGCTCTAAAACTTAAATAGAAGGCTAAACTAGTGACAACTGGTTTAGGCCCCCCATGCCACCTTTTCCTTACAATTAGAGTAGAAAGGACCCGCTGGTAGGCCAACCAGCAGCACGCCTTTCCCAGCAACAGTGAGAGGTTACAGGACGATGCGCTAGCCAGACTGCAGCCTGTCCCTTTCAAATTCACAAGGGTTGTGAGAAAGCATGCATGGAATAATTTCTTTTTTGTATAAGGCAGACATATCTATAAAGAAGATGAACAAGTAACCCTGATCTCCTAAGTGTTATACTCATCTAACCTCAAGTGCTAGTTAGCTCATTTTTAAAAGAATTAGTATGGCTAAAACTAATTTTCACATATTGAAGCTAACCAGTAACACAGTTAAAACAGAATGATCATTATGATATAACACGTTTTCAATAGTTTTAAATTTGCATTACCGTTTAAAACATTGATTTGTTGAGGAAAAACTTCATGGGCATTAATTACTTTCCATACGTAACAGTCACAATTAAAGCTGTTAGCGTTTCATTTGATTTTTATTTCAAGTCAACCTATTTCCAGGCAGTTACAGATTTTGAAGAATTTCTAGAGGCACATTTAGATATATTAACTCATACTTCAAACACAGATGCCAAAGAGCAAAATGTTAAAGTTTAGAATGGCATGAAATGCTTAAGAAAAACCTAATTTTAAGGTTTCCTATTTTTCAAATATCTCTACTAAAAGTTCTGTGGTAAAACAGCAAACTTCTTCCCGTTCTGGTTATGAGGCAGTCAACATATTCTCAAGTTCCAAATGTTTAAATACAAAATTTCTACTTGAAGAACATATACAAAATAACATAAAAAAACAAATGCCTCAAATTTTTGTACTGAGAGGTCAATTCAAAGAGTAAACATTTAAGAAATCCCAAAAAGATTTTTAACTCAAGGGAAAAAAAAAAGAAGGCATACCTTAGGTCTATTTTGTCTTCTAAGAACAGGAACTGTAGGAACTAAGCATTAAAAATGGAAAATGATGCCTTTACCCCTAATGTCAGGGTTAAAATCCAATCTGAGACTACAAACTTGGCAGTTTCACAGTAGACAAAAGTTCACATTTCCAAACTACTTTTTATGTCCCAACAGGCAGAATTTTAAGGTAAAAATATCATGCCTTTCAGAGAAAAGACAAATCACACTTTTTCAATATTGAATGTGCTCTCATTCTGAAAAGAGTAGCCTACCAGGGCTGAAATTACCAGCACTTATACAAACACATTCTAGCCAAATTTCTATAATAAAGTAACATTTTTGCTTTTGTTCTTGACTAGTTCGTATATAAGAGGAGATTCTGCAAAAAATACCCTTCAAGGGCCTCTAATGAATTGATCATAATCTGTCAGTATTTCATTTTAGGTAGGAGGTAGGGTGCAGGAAAGGTGCAGGAAGTACAAGTAAACTGATCAACTAGATAACGGATATATTGACACACATATACATACATTGTAAAGAAACAGAGAATGTAATTAAGTTGAATGAAGAGCTTCATTACAGCCACAATACAGTCAAATCCATGGTACAGCTAGTCAATTTCATAACAGGATTTAACAGTATTTTCTTCTGCTATTGCCCTTAGCTATTCAGTTTATACTGTTTTATTTCTCCTTTTGATTGAGTATCAGAAAGAACAGCCTTAAAGATGGCATGGTATAACATGGTATAATTCCAAATCCACAGTTCCTACTCAATTTGGTACATCAGATAGATTAAGTAAGTAAACTACAACAGAACACCATTATAACTTAATGTTGTATTATAGATACAGATATACCATGGCTCAAATCACTGCACTCAAAGCTGCCCACAGCACAGCTGAAACGCGGGTCCCACAGGGTAGGTGTCAGGCAGTCCGGTTCCAGCACCAGCGTTACACAGCATGATCTCGTTTGTTTGCTTTAGATCACAAGTTACCCAATACATATTACCCCACAATAAATGTCAAAGAAGAAGGGAGAGCATCAGGAAATAGAACTTTAAAGCAACTCTATGAAAAACGTTAGGCTCAACATCAAAGCAATTCTATACCACTTTAAATACTATCAAATAAATTAGTAATACTGTAGGTAATGAATATTTAAAGACCTACCTAGGCTATAAACACCATATTGTTTTCTGATGATAGAACCATATGTCTTAGCTTGTGTGTGTCTGCAGGAAAAAAACCTCACTAGTAACACACAGGCATTTTAAGGAACAGTTTAAGATAAGCTTTGTTAAGAGTACATTCTTTTTAAAATATACTAGCCACTTGAAAAACTAATCCATAGTCAAATGTAAAATAGAAGGAGCTCCATAAATAAACAAAGTAAAACCCTAATAGATATTAACCTCTAACGTCACTTTCAGTTTTCATTAGTTACTTGTATCTAAAGAATTCTGAGGAGAAATATGTAAACACTTAATAAAGCTACTATGCATTTTTTAAAATTAAAATCTGACCCCCCAAATCCCAATTGTGAAACATCTGCTTTTACCAAAATTTTACATCTGAAGGTTTTAATATACACACATATATAAAATCAACTGACAGCATCATGTGTATGACTGTCACACACATATGACAGTCATATGTGCCCACATTCAGGAGTTTTTAAAAATGGACTTAATACTAATTTAATGAAAAGAAGTATAATTATTGTAAAATGTTTGAATACCTCTTATTTTCCAGGCAGCGACCTAAGTACTGCAGGGGTTAAGACCTAGGAAGGTGTAGCAGTCTTTGTCTAAAAAACACCCCTTCCCAGAAGAGGGGGAGGAGGAAAAAGGAAGACAGAATAGTAAGCACGTGCTGACAGAGAGGTACACCCAAGCTCAAGACGTTTCCTTACTTACGTGTACACGTCACGTTTTTAGACAACTGTAAACACAGATAACTTAAGTGTGTTTCAGGGGGAAAAAACCAGGAAATTGGAGATACGAAATAAGCGACAAAGAAGTAAGCTTATCAGTCTGTTGGAGAAAGTCGAAGGTATGATGGAGAGGAAGACAAAGCAGATGCAAAGACAGTTAAGTTATAGGAATTAAAAGTATTGAAACAGCGTTATTATTTAGCATGGCAAAAACAAGAATTTCTCCTAAGGCAGAGACAAACAGTTAATGAGACATATGCCATGAGCATCTACCCATTATTCGGCAGCTATTATGATGCAATGATGACATTTCAGATTTTTAGATACAATGTAACTTTTATCTTTTTAAAATACAATTCGCTCAGCGCTAAAGCCAGCTTTCCCAGATGCTTCCATCCAAGTACCCACTGCTAACTAAATATCAAGCCTTGGCTTCAAAGAGATGTGAAGCACAAATTTCAGGTTTGTCCCAATTCTCTTTTCTGGGAAAAGAAAGCGGAAATTTAAGACAGAACAAAACAAAGTTTCACTAAGCAGGCTTTTCATTCAAGTATTTGATGTGCTTAAATTGGCCTCAAATTCTCAAAATAAGGATGGCCAATATTTTAGTGAGACAGAGAAGCAGGAATGAAAAAGGGCAAGCCCCGCCAAAACAAAAATCTGGATCAATACTGAACAGGTATCTACTTTACAGAGTGGACTGTTCTTTGGTAGGACGGAAGAGATGAGAAGCTAGCCAAACTTACTGAGTTCCCATCCACCTTAGTCTATTCCTCAAAAAGCAATTTCCCCGCTAAGTAGCAGAGCCAGGTGAACTATGATCCCAACACCTGGCAGAGGCAAGAGAAAACAAAGCAGCGATTTGACTCCTTGAACTGGAGATAGTGTGTTGAGCTTCGAGAGGCTAGACCGAAGGTGTCCAACTTAAACACTTAATTAGAAATTACTAACTTAAAAAAATAAATGCTGGGAAAAGAAAGGAGTGCCACACTATCTGGAAAGGAATGCAAATGCTGAGTCATCAGTCTTCATTAGGAAGGAAACTCGTCTAAGCGGTTGGAAGATGAAATTCATTCATTAGATTGGGCTCCAAGTAAAAAGCAACAGAGCAAGCTATAGGAAAAAGCGCTCAAAAGACACACAACGAATAGTGGATAAAAAGGCATCATTTTATCCAACTCGGAAGGTCTCGACACAGGAACAGATTAAAAAGAGTTAACACCAAAAGGGCAAAAGCAGTTTAACAACTGGTTGTCAGTTTAGCGTAGGTAGCGCTTGAAGTAAACTTTATCCAAGAAGGGAAAGATGCTCCCGCAGCAAGAGGCATCCCTTTTGCACTTCAAAAGTAGCGGGCGCTTGGTGAGTGTGTCGGACAGCGTGGGCGGGGGCACGTGGGGGCAGAAACAGAGTAAGGGCTTGAACCACCCAAGAGTGTGCCGCTTCTTCCAAGAGCTTAGCTTGGAAAAAGAGCCAGAAGCGACTGAAGCAGGGGACCCGGAGGGCCTGAGTGTTAATTCCTCGGGGCCCGCAGAATGCGGCCCCACCCCCAGTCCCACCCCTACCAGGCCCTGCCCCCGAGGGGACAGCTCCCGGCCCAGTTCAGGGCCCATAAAGCAGAGCAGGACCTCTCCCGGGCCTGACAGCCTCTGCTATGCAGAAACCCGGCCTAGGAAAAGTGTGCAAAAAAGGGTGCGACAGAAAAAGGTCGAAACAAGCCCCAGGCCCCAGGAAGTGACTGTTGGGGGAAGGGAGGGCTTCCTTCCCAAGGAAAAGGGGACAAATGAGGAATGCACTTCGCGTCCCCGCCACCCCAGCCAGGGAGCCGCCGGAAGTCCGGGCTTCGGCCCCGCTCTCCTGCGCCCTCCCACAGAGTCCCGCGGTGCCCGGGCCTCTCGGCGTCAGGCACCCCTCATCTCGGGTACTCACAGAGTCCGGGGCTGCCCGTCGTCTTCCATCATGGTGGGTGCGACGGAGTGATCCCGGGACAAGGGGGAGGGCAGGGTTGGGGAGGGGAGGGGGTGGGGAGGAAGGGGAGGGGGACTCCGGGCACCAGATGGGGTCAGAGGAAAAGGCACCGAACCCTGCTCCCGGGTTCTCTCCCCCCAGCCTGCTCCGGACACTGCGCTCCAACCAGGAGGAGCAGGAGGAGGAGGAGGAGGATGGACAAAATGGCCGCCGCCACCAGCCAGGCCGGAAACTGGGCAGAGCGCAGGCGCGGCCCGCCAGGTCACCGCTCTGGCCAGCCGCGGCGGCCTGCAAAGGGAATAACTGAGTGAGGAGAAAAAAGGGCCGCTGAGGGAACCCTGCGTGCGGTTACAAGGGATCACGTCGTCGCTGTGAGCTTCCTGGCCAATCGAAGCCTAACCAGCTCTAGAAGAGATAGAGTAAGAAGACAACCGCTGGGAAACTGAAGTCTCTGGGAATTGTGGTCCTGGAAATGAGAAAAGGAAGCACTTCTCCAGAGGACTTCTGGGAACTGTAGTCCAAACGAGACGGCCGGCGCCCGTGCCGCGCTGGGACGCGAAGAAGAGATTTCTGGGTAGTGTAGTCGTACGTGAGTACGTGCGGCGACCGGGAAGTCTGCGTGCTGGGAGGGGAGGGCGAGAATAAAGGCGATGTTAAAAGGCGAGCAGACGAGGTGGGAAGAAACCCTGTCCCAGACATAAACTACGAATCCCAGAGTGCCTGGCGCTGGGGGCTGTTTGAGGCCTGCCACAGGCATTTTAAGGCTCCTCAGTTGGCTCAGCCTGAGGTGCTGCTCCGCCTCCTTCCAGCCCAGAGAGCGGTTTCTTCAACTGCGGCTCTGGCAGTGCTCTGGCTCCGCACGCTGTCCGAGCCGGCTGGTCTTTACGGCCCTCTATCAATCAGAACGTCCGGCCCGTGGTCATCAACCGCCGCCCCGCGCGACAGGCCTGAGTCGTTGAGTCGGACCTCGGGCCGGGAATGATCTGGGAGTTGCACTCTCCGGGGCCCCTCGGGCTTCCCCAGGGCCGGCTGCGCCCTTCCGGCGCGTTTTTCCGCAAGTAGGTGTTCTTAGCTTCAGTAGCCTGCTTTGTAGAATGCCTTACAAGTTTCAGAGGTTTCCCTGTCTGTTATCATCTCCTTGGATAAGCGGGTAAGAAGAGCGGTCCTCCCTCCATTAAAATGACTTCATGAGTCAGCGTAAGGTTGCAGCAGTAATACCCTTCTACCCGCTTATTTAATTCTTAGAGGGAGAAGAAAGTCTTTGGGCAGCGGTGTGCACAGACGTAAGATTGTGTTTATACAGATCTATCATATAGACGGAATGAAGTCTTGCTGGAACATGTGGAAAGCCAGGTTCACACTGGCGCTGTAGCCCCGTAGAATTTTCTTTTCTCTTCACCTTACGCTTTCTTTCTGCTACCCCCACCGCCAGCATCTTTAGGAGATTACTGAGTTCGTACCCGCTTTTGTAACTTAGTGAAGCATGGCAGTGAAGACAGGTGTTTCAGTCCCGAGCTCAGGGGTCCCAGTGCAGCAGCCTTGAGAGTTGGTTCTACAAACACGTGCGGAGCCGACTCTGCCATCCGCTGTGCGCCGCTGGCCCCACTGAATCCGAATTCTGTAAGGAGTCCGCGGCGCAGCGTCGTAATGTCAATATGGGGGGAGGATGGATTTCTGCCTGGAAGGTAGAGACCGTGGCAAGGGAGGTGAGCCCCATTAAGAGTCAGTGGGAACAGTGAAGTGGCACAGAGGCCAAGGTCATGGCTAAGCTGTATTTTTTCTTTTTCGGAGACGAGTGGAGGAAGGCATGGAGTGGGGTCTTGAGAGCTAAGTTAGAAAGGAGGGCAGGATTTTGTTAAAGGTTTATTTATATCAGGCTGGTGAAGTTGGGCTTTGTCTTCCAGGCAATGAGGAGCTATTGGAAGGTTTAGGTGTTTTTATTGGACCTAGGCATACAACTGTGCTCATCATAAGGATTGTCATTGATTCATGCCTGCCCACTCCTATTAGTTTCCTATTGCTGCTATAAGAAACTTAGTAGCTTACAACAGGAAGGTATTATCTTACAGTTCCAGAGCTCAGAAGTCTGAAGTCAGTTTCGCTGGGTGTTGGCAGGGCTGGTTCCCTCTGAAGTTTAGAGAAGAACGGGTTCTTTGCCTTTTCCAGCTTCCAGAGGGGGCCTGCATTCCTTAGCATTTGGCTCCTCCCTTCATCTTCAAAAACAGCAGCATCTTCTTTCCTCTCTGACCTCTGCTGCTGGCTTTACATCTCTTTCTGACTGATAATCCTGCCTCTTTGACTTACAAGGAAGGGCCATTTATTTATTTATTTTGGCTTTTTAAAATTGGATTTATTGGAGTGACATTGGTTCACAAAATCATACAGGTTTCAAGTGTGCAACTCAACAGAACATCAACTGCACCCTGCATGGTGCACCCATCGCCCAAAGCAAAGTCTCCTTCCCTCCCCATTTGCCCCCGCCTATGCCCACCTCCACCTGCTCCCACTCCCCTCCCCTCTGGCTGTCACCACACTGTTGTCTGTGTCGCTGTGTTGTGTGGTATGGAAGGAAGGAAGGAAGGAAGGAAGGAAGGAAGGAAGCAAGCAAGCTTCGTGGTTACTTGGGGCCAGGATAATCTCCCCATCTCAAGATCCTTAACCATATCCGCAAAGTCCCTCCTACCATAGTGTATCTGCTGGTTCTAGGCATTAGGGCATAGACAGCTTTCGGGTGCCATTAGTCAGCCTGCCACGCCCACCTGTATGAATTTAGTTACTTTTAAACAATGTAATAGCATTCGTGAACCCTCCACCCCCCCAGAAAGTTGTAATGGCAGAGATTACAGCTAATTCCCACACAGGCTAACTTGTCCTCCTGCCTCCCCCACCCCCCCGCCGGGGCAACCACCTGAATCGTGTCTTTGTCACTTTTTGTTTTCCCTTTTACAAAGTTTTATTCCAGGTATACACATATTTTCTTAAAAAGTGGTACACATGTATTTTCAAATTGTCTTTTTTTATTTAATTACTAATTTGAGAGAGAGAGGAAGGGAAAGAAACATCTTGTTGTTCCACTTATTTATGCATTCATTGGTTGATGAATTTTTTTTTTTAAGAGAGAGGGGAAGGGACGGAAAAAGATAGAGAAACATCGATTGAATGCCGCAAACTGGGAACATGGACTGTAACCCAGGCATGTGCCCTGACTGGGAATGGAACTCGTGACATTTTGATTTACAAGATGATTCCCAACCCACTGAGCTACATAAATCAGGGCTGCCTTTTTTTTTTTTTTTAAATTCATAGGTTGATTCTCATCTGTGCCCTTACTGGGGAGCAAACCCACAGCCTTGGCATATCAGCACAGCGTTTTAATCAGCTGAGCTACTCAGCCAGGGCTGAATTGTTTTTGATGTAATAAAAAGAATACGCCCACCACACACCTATTAAAATGGCTAAAATCCAAAACACTGACACCAAATGCTGGTGTGTGTGAAGAAACACATTCGTTCATTGTTAGTGGGAGTACAAAATGGTACAGCTACTTTGGAAAGCCATTTAGGCGGTTTCTCACAAAGCTAAACATAGCTCCAACGTGTTTATTGAGGTGAGTTAAAAACTTACGTCCACGTGCAGACCTGCACATGAATGATTACAGCAGTTTTATTCGTAAAAATTGGGAGCAACCAAGATTCCATAAGTGAATGGGTAACCTAGTGCATCCAGATAATAAAAGGTTATTCAGTGGCAGAAAGAAATGATCTATCTCCCCACAAAAGACATGGAGGACTCTTAAACGCATACTGCTACGGGAAAGCAGCTGGTTTTAAAAGGATTCCAACTATGTGACATTCTGGAAGGGCAAAACTAGAGACAGTAAAAAGATGAATGATTGCCAGGGGGAGTGGGGCAGATGAACAGTTGAAGCACAGGGCATTTTTTACAGCCATGAAACTATTTTGTATGATACTATAATGGTGGGCCCCAAAGAAGCGTATCACACAAGGTGAATCCTAATGTAAACTGTGGACTTTATCTCAATATTGGTTCAGCGGTTGCATAAAGTGTATCACATAAATGAGACAGTAATAATGAGGGAACCTGGATGCTGGTGGGAAGAGTGTATATGGGAACTTTGTAACTTCTGCGCTCTTTCGGTAAACCTAAAACTGCTCTAAAAAGTAAAGTCTGTTGCAAAGGGAAAACATACCTTTGTATCCTTATGGGACTTTTTTTTTTAACCTAACGTAACATGGGTAAGATTCAGCCATATTTTATGTATGTAGTTCATTCACCTTCACTAGTGTATGACATTACAGTGTGTGAACACAGCGCACTTTGTCTGAGTTGTTACTGATGGACCGTTGAGTTGCTTCCAGGTCTTCAGAACTGTGATCCGTGCTGCTGGGAACATTCTGGCACGTGTCTCCCATTAGAGATGTGTAAGAGCTTTCTTTGGTCTGCTCAGGTCCATAGGTAAAAGCAGAATTGTTCAGTCACATGGTGTGCGAATATTCGGTTTTAAAAGATAATGTCAAACATTTTTTTCCAAAGTAGACACATGGATCTGTGCTCCCGTGAGCATTGTGTGGGAGGGCTGACGAAAGGACCCACGGCCCCTTCAACACTTGCTTTTCCAGGCTTTTTATCAGTCGAAGCGCCAGCCCAGTGTGGTCTTAATTTGCATTTACCCAGTCAACAAGACTGAGCATTTCTTCTATTTTATTAGCCATTCGTGTTCCCTTTTCTGAAAAAGAAAAAAATGCCTATTGATATCTTTTGCCTATTTTTTCTGTTAGGTTATATTAGGTGCTTTTCTTGTAGATTCAAATGAATTTGTAATGCCAGTCCTTTCTCAGGTATACTGCAAATGCCTTCTCCCAGTTTGTAACTTGTCTCTCTTTTTAACTGCCTTTAATGAACAAAATTCTTAATTTCAAAGTAAGCAAATCCAGTGTGAGTTTGTGTGTGTGTGCCTTTAAGAACTATTTTTCTTCCTCAAGATCTAAATTACAGACTCTTTAAGAGATACCCATAGAGTGTACTAAAGGCTTTAAAATTTAGTATGTGAAATGTAAGTCATTAATCTACCTGGAGTTAAATTTTGTATACATGTAGAGTAGGGATCCAATTATATATTTTTTTTACATGGAGAGCCATTCTTTTAACACTCCGCTGAACCGTTCCGCCCA